ATCTACTCCAGATGTTCCTTTGCCAGAGGTTGCATTGGGATGCTCGTTCCCTAGGAAACACCTATAAGGAAGAGCTATGTGTCATTACCAGAAGAAAGAGGTGGAAAATCAGCCTGCTGGGCATGACAATCTAGAGATGCCACAACATACTCTAGGTTTTTATATTTTATAGAGGAGCATGCTGATGCAAAGAGAGATGATGTGGCTTCTCTAGTCACACAGCTAGTTTGACTTAAAAATGATTGCAAGATAATAAGAGCTAATTTCCCCATTATTTTTCTCAAATTTCTATAGTTAGATTAAAACCCCTATTACTAAGCTGGTGTTAGTAAATTAAGTTTCTATCAGGGATCAAACCAGAGCACATTAATGAGATAAAATAATCAACACATTGGAACTTAGGTTAGAACTTAGAAAAGGAGTCCAATTTTAAATAAAGGCCAATTTCATTAACTAGTAATTTGACAGATTCTTTTGTTTAATATAATAATTTATTTTCATTTTAAATTATTCCATACTCATTGTAAAAACAAATCAAACTTTAAAATTTTAATTTAAATTTAATTTTTTTGACACAGGGTCTCATTCTGCTGCCCAGGCTGGAGTGCAGTGGCATGATCTTGGCTTACTGCAACCTCGGCCTCCAAGGCTCAAGCAATCCTCTTGCCTCAGCTTCCCAAAGTGCTGGGATTACAGGCATGAATCCCTGAGCTTGGCTTTAAACTTTCTTTTAAAAACAAACAAAGGGACTTTCCTCTTTGCATTATTACATAAACGGTTCTTTTAAGAGACTTTCTCTAATTTTAAAAATAACAAAATGACTTTTGCCTATTTGATTGAGATTCCAAAGATGAGTAGAGTGAAGTGGGTATTTTGATACATTGTTGGTGGAACTGTAAATTGATTCAGGCTTTCTGGAGTGCAATCTGTCATAAATACAATAAATTAAATATGCATATACTTTGATTCACAAATTCAACATCTAGGGACTTATCTTTATCAAATAATAGACACAGATACATGTAAAACATATTTACCACAGCATGTTTATATTTTTACAACAATCCAAAAGCCAAATTTGAGCTGTTAAATTAATTATAGTGTATGCATATAATAGAACACTCAGGAAAGATGAAATGGATGCATAGTCACTGACATGGAAAGTTACTCAAGGTAAGCAGTGAGGTTAAAAAAAAAAAGCAGCTTATATAATAGTGCAAGAGGAAAGTCCATTTGTGCTTGTTTTTAAAAGAAAGGGGAGCTAGGGTGTTTCAAAGTTCCAAACTGTTTTTGCTAAATACAAACCACATTAAGGCATTCACGACCAAGGAACAACTGTGTAAAATAAGAATTCTCAGTAACCCCCAAAGAACATTTTTTTGGCGATCACAAGGATGAAGGACCAGCTTAGATTGCAGGGAATTCTTGGGAGATGGTTTCCCTTGAAACATGGGTAACAGCCTTGAGGTATTCTAATAAATGGGATCTAAGGCCTCAGTACTTAGAAGACAGCTGGCTAATGACATACCTATATGTGAAGTGAGTCAGGAAACAAATGGTCTTAAAAAAACTGGATGTGCCTGGGCACATACTATATTAGAAATAAAAATGAGTAAGTGTCCAAAGAGACTAAGTAGTAATATGATGAGACCGAATTAGGGATATTTCCCTTAATAACTACTCCTCTGATGTTATCTACTTGGCAGGATCTTCAATACTTTCTCTTTGACAGGCATTAATTTGATGAAGGAGGCAAAATAACAGGGAGGCTACTAGTGAAGAACGACCTCCTTCTCAAATTATTCATAGGTAATTAGGAACAACTATTTTTTTTTGAAAGATAATCTCGAGAGCAGTGATTGTCAAAGTCAGCTTGCCAATCTTCAGCATTAGCATCACATGGGAATTTGTCAGAAATGCAAATTCTTAGGTCCCGTTCCAGAACTACTAAATCAGAAACCCTGAGGGTGGGGCCAGAAATCAGTGTTTTAACAAGCCCTGGTGATTCTGCTGCGTTGTTCTTAGGTATTTTAGTGATTAAATTCTTCATGTATTTATTGTCAGTAAGTTCAGGCTGAAAATGTAAGATTATAAAAAGATCACAGAAGACATAAATTGTTTAAGTACATCTTTCTAAAGTGAATATGGTGCTCTAAAAAGAATTCTGAGTTTGCATTTTGAAGTACATATTTCAGCAAGGGGTGGGCCTGTTTTATACAAAATGAAGTATCTTCTTTCAGATTGAGATTCCTGTAGTCTTTCACAGATGGAATCCCTGCATATTTCTGTAGATTATGTTTATTCTGAATTTATTTGCCATTTGACTCATATATCTAGGCTTATTATGACAAAATATCCTGACCAAAGAAAATGTTAAAACAAAAATTGCTGAAAAGAGATCAAAGCCTTTCATGCAAAGCTTTAAACAGAGAATATTATATTATGTACATGTTGAAAACTATATGAATTTCCTGGGAAAAAGTGAATAGTATCTTGTTAATTTGTTCTTCTGGATAGGCAGAGAAAGTCTTACTCCAAATTTTGAGGAAGCTCTATGTTCAACTTTTTAAGAAACTACAAAACTTATCCAAAGTTGTTATACCATCTTGCATGCCCTTCAGCAATTATGAGAATTTAAATTGCTCCACATCTGGCTGGGTGCGGTGGCTCATGCTTGTAATCCTACTTTGGGAGGCCTAGGTGGGCCTCAACGTCAGGAGTTTAAGGCCAGCCTCGTTGAAACCCCGTCTCTACTAAAAATACAAAAATTAGCCAGGCGTGGTGGCACACACCTGCTTGGGAGGCTGAGGCAAAAGAATCACTTGAACCTGGGAGGCAGAGGTTGCAGTGAGCCAAGATCATGCCACTGCACTCCAGCCTGGGCAACAGAGTGAGACTCCATCTTAAAAAAAAAAATTTGCTCCACATCCTCCCTCACACTTGGCATAGCAGTATGGTAGCTTGGTAACCATTCTGTTAGGTCTTTAGTGGTATCTTATGGTGATTTTAATTTGCATTTTCCTAATGACTAATGATGTTGAGCATCTTTACATATGTTTATTCACCAGTTGCATAACTTCTGATCCAGTCATTCTACTCTTTATTACAAAAGAAACAAAAACACATGTACATATAAAGACATGGATTCTTTCTATGGACTGAATTATGTCACCTCAAAATTCATACATTGAAGACCTAACCCAGTGTGAATGTTTAGAGATAGGGTCTATAAGGACGCAATTAAGGTTAAATGAGATTATAAGAGTAGAGCCCTGATACCACCAGATTAATGTTCTTGTAAGAATCGACCCCAGAGAGTGCTATCTTGGTGTCTCTCTCACGCTCCTTATATTTATCTCTCTCTCCTTTTCTCCCTCTCTCTTCCTTCCCTTTTCTCTCTATAAGCACACAAAGATGTCATGTGAGCACACAGTAAGTTGGAAGCTTCCTTCAAGTCAGGAAGGGGCCTTACCAGAAACTGACCATGATGGTATAGTAATCTTGAACTTCCAGGCTCCAGAACTGTGAGAAAATAAATGTCTGCTGTTTAAGCCATCCAGTCTACTGTATTTTGTTATAGCAGCCTGAGCTGACTAATATAATCCTCATAGCAGCTTTATTTGTAATAGTCAAAAACTGGAAACCACATAAATGAATGGAAAAACTGTGGTATATATATACAATGGAATATTATTGAGCAATAAAAATAAATGAACTATTTATATTCACAACAGCATGGTTAAATCTCAAAATAATTGCGCTGAGTGAAACAAACCAGACAAAAAGGAGAGTTGACACTGTATGATTCAATTGGTATTAAACTCCAGAAAATGTAGCTAAATGATGGTGACAGAAAGCAGATCTATGGTTGCCTGGCAAGTGAGTTGTGGTGAGGAATGGGAGTGAAAGATGAGAAAGTGGCCAGGCACGGTGGCTCACGCCTGTAATCCCAGCACTTTGGGAGGCCAAGGCAGGCAGATCACGAGAGCAGGAGTGCCAGACCATCCTGGATAGCATGGTGAAACCCCATCTTGACTAAAAACACAAAATATTAGCTGGGCATGGTGGCGGGCGCCTGTAGTCCCAGCTACTCAGGAGGCTGAGGCAGGAGAATTGCTTGAACTTGGCAGGCGGAGGTGGTAGTGAGCTGAGATCTCACCACTGCATTCCAGCCTGGGCGACAGAGCAAGACTCTGCCTCAAAAAAAAAAAAAAAAAAAAAAAAAAAAAAGACAAAGTGCAGGAGGAAATCATAGAGAGGGATGAATATGTGTACTAGCTTGATTGTGGTCGTGGGTTCATGGGTGCACATATGTCAAAACTCATCAAATTGTATACTTAAAATTATGCAGTATATTGTATGTAAATTATATGCAATAAAGCTATCTTTAGAAATCCTATGGAATTCTGTTGTCACTAGTAATCTCCAATTTTGTGTTAAATAGATTTTAAATTGCATTTTCTCCAGTCTCGGATAAACAAGTGGAAAAGAAAATGCTTCCCCCAGGAAAGAGAATCATATGTATGAGATCTTATGGCTTTGTACCTATCTTTGTGAGGAGCTGGGAACAGAATCCCTGCCCCAGCCAAAACCCTCAGCCTTCCCTTTGCCATTGGAGGTAACAACAACAACAACAACAAACAACAGCAAAAACAAAAATCAGAAATCCAAAAACGAAATCAAAGGGCTAAAAAACAGGTGACAGCGAAACTCAAAACTGGGAACTAATGACTGCTTGAACCTTTTGTTTTTGCAGCCTCAGGTGTCTCGGTTGGATATAGAGGTGAAGAATGAAAATGTTATGCCATCTTTTAATCACATTTGGTAACTGGTGTCAGGAATACTGAAGTACAGGAGAGAAAAGCCTCCACAAGCAGAAATGCTAAAATCTAGCATAATAACGTGTCACCTCATAAGTCGGGCAAGACTTTGACAATAAAACAAAGTTGGACACAGAATTTGACTAGAAATTCAAAACCTGCGTCAATTTCACAGAAAACTCAGAAGATAAAATAGAGTTTTATTCATAGCCTAGGTAAAGTTCAGAACTTTATACTGCACTTCGGTGGCTGTGCTGATCCATGGTTCGGATGGGATCACAATAGCAGGGAAGGCCGAGGCTTCCTACAGAAGGTCCTTTGTGGCAAATCACTATGAGAGGAAACTCCGTCAAAGTTGCCAATTGTTCATTTAATTTCTTCTGTGCTACGGAAGCCTAGTTTTGTTTTAAGCGCTAACGTCCGAGGTTATAAGCAAGTTTTTGAGCTTTGGCTACGCAGCTAACAAGTAATAGAATAGTCAACTCAAAACTACGTCTGATGCCAAAGCTCTAACTCTTAAACTCAATATAGAGTTTTTTTTTTCTGGGAGATCTCCCCTCGTGTCTCCCCCAACTGTGACTCGCATTAACTCGCTGCTGGTTCCCAGCTGGAGAGCACTGATTGCACCTGCTCCGAAGCCCAGCGGGGCTCAGCCTCTTCCGCAGCTCAGCCTCGGCTGTCTGTGTACGGACATCAGGACCCACCAGGGGTCACTGCAGCTTCAGAGCTATTGTGCCCCTCAGTCCTGCATGCCGCCGACCGCGCGGAGGGCGTGGGACTGGGAACGCCGTACGGTGGGGTCCGAGCAGCACCGCGTCCTCCTCTCCCCAGCCAGCTTCCAGGTCTCCCAGGGAAACGGACGCAACGAGCACAGGACGGCCCAGCGGCTCCGGCGCAGCGCGCGGCTTGGGAGCGCGGACCCGCCGCACTTCGCGGCTGGGACCACCTCCGTCCCGCCCTCCGCCCCCCAGTTGATACCCCGCCCAGACCGGGGCTCCCCTGCGCGGCCATCCTTGGGCTGGGGGGAACCCTTCTTTCCGGGGCCTTTTCCAGACGCCTGGGCCGGGCCCAGATGCACCTGGGCTGCTTCCGCCCTGGGCGCCACCCCTCGCGCAGCTAAGAGAACTTTCCCCGGAGCCTCCGCGGCCTGGCGCGCCCAGGGCACACCCCCTCCCGCCGCGTTCCCAGCTGGGGCGTCGCTCCTCTGCCCGCAGGTCCCCGCCTCCCGGCTTGGCTGAAAGTCCTGAAGCAGCCGCGCTCCGCCGCCGCAGCAGGCATTCCCGGAGGGAGAGCTTGAACTTGGCTACACTCGGCCACCCGTGATGAGCTCGGGGGTCCCCGGACGGGAGCCACGCCCCGCGACGAGCTGACCTCCCCTCGCCGGTGTCAGTAAGGAGCCTGCTGCCCTTTCCGCCCCTCCCGGCTGCTCAGCGCCCAGTGCTGGGGGACGGGGTAGCGGACGGAGCGACGACCCTCGTCTCTGCCCCCGCTCGCATGGCCGGGGCGTCGTGGGTGCTCCTGACACAAAAGAAGAGCTGAGCGCTTCCTACTCGGCGGAGCTGACCTGGGGCTGCGGGGCGGGGTTGCGGCTGGAAGTGCGCGCCGGCGGGAGACTCCGCAGGCCGTTCGGAGGCCGGGACGTCGGGGCCGAGCTCAAATCCGTGCGGCTGGAGGGAGCCGCAGCGCTTCCAGGGGCTTCCAAGGCCGGGGAGGGCCTCGAATTCCGTATCTTGCCCCAGTGCCAGGAGACTTTCGTCGTCCCCAGGACTGCAGGAGGGGCCCGCGCCTCGGTCTTCGGAGGATCCCGAGCCGCAGGATGCCCGGGGACGCGCCGCCGCCCTCGGCGCCCAGTTCCGCAGGCGCTTCACCGGCGGCTCCCGGGCGCTGACTCTCCCGGGCTTTTCCGCCCTCCTCGCTCCCGCCCCGCCGGGCGGCTAGGCGGCCGGGACCCGGACCCCGCCGGGAGTTGCTCCTCTCGCCCTCACCAAGGCCGGGACAATAAATTAATGCGTCGCGCTTGAGGGGAGGGGGCGGCTGGGCGCCTCTGTGGCAGCTTTCTCGCCTGGCTGGAGACGGCCACAACCGACATGGGCTGTTTCTGCGCTGTTCCGGAAGAATTTTACTGCGAAGTTTTGCTTCTGGATGAATCCAAGTTAACCCTCACCACCCAGCAGCAGGGTATCAAGGTGGGTGCGGCCGGGACCGCGTTCCGGGGGTAGGCGACAGGGCGGGCGCGGGGGTCCACCGCTTTGTCTGAGGACGGTCACCGGTGGGTCGAGGGCGGCGGCCGCGTCTCTGCGCGGTGGGGAGGAGAGGCCGCTGTCCCCTGCGCGCAGGGAGAGGGTGGATGTGCCAGGGTGAGTTAACTTTGAGTTCCTTCAAAAAGTAAAGTTGAGTTTGACCTGTCAGAGGTTACTTAGCACACCAACTCCCAGCAGCAACCCCAAACTCTTCCCCAGACGTTTTCTCCAAAAGCCTCCGGGTCCGTCGCAGCTCTCAAAGAAGGCAGAATAGGTTATACCGGCTGCATCCCACCACAGCGTTGAAAGCACGATTTCCCTCGGTTCTGTTGAAGGCGTTTTCCTAGATAGTGTAATTAGGGAAGTGAACTAGTTCACTCATTGAAACACATTAATGGGTAATTGTGATTATTTTGCGTGCGTTTGTAGTTGGGTAATGCTACGTTTGGACGGAAAATATTTTCTCTTTCTACAGCTACCTAGGTTTATCCTCACGTTTAAGTAAACATCTCTCAAAGCGACCCAGTAATAACTTTGCTCCTGTTTGTGGGTCATCAAAATGGAATCAACACATTAACCTAGAGAACCCAAACAAAAAAGTAGCAGAGCCCAACAGAGCTCCTCTTCCTTACATTTGATGAGGTGTTTATGTTTATAGCGACAACCTGACCAATGCGCCTGCGTGCTTGTTTAGGTCTTAACAACAATGTTAACTACGTAAACGAGACCTAAATCCGAAGCATTTTGTTGTTTTGTTTACCTTTCTCTTTCAGTTTTAAATCACTAAGGCGTTTTAGGTGAGGCAGCGGCTGAGTCGCCTGAAGGGAAACCGCTCCCCGCCTCTGATATAGCTGGCCTTCTGAGAAATAGAGATCAGACTGCCAAGTATCCTCTCTTAGTCTCTTCAAATCAGAAGTTAATCCTAATGGGGTAGGCCCTGGGCATTTCCTTTTGTGAATCAGTTTTTACGTGGTTTTATGCACACTAGGATTACTATTCCTGGCTAAAAGTTTCAGCGTTGGTGTTGCCATTCTTAGTGCACAGAATTCCAATTTCATAGGTGTGATTCTTTTGCAAGAGAAAGAGGCAAAAATGATCAGTTAAAGCTACAAGACTGTTAACTCTTTCCTTTAATTGTTAATTAATTAATTCCTTTAATTCAAAACAAGATTGTTTTGAATATTGTTTCCCCAGTAATTATAATGAGCAGAATTCAACTGGATTCTCCTATGGGGTTTCCTTTCAAGACCAATAAAATAGACTCTTTTGGGGGAGAATGTACATTTTGTATTTTTAACTTTTCTTTATGTTCCAAAATATTTCTCCTCTCACCCACCCAATAGAATCAGGAAAATACTGTACCTTACAAGATGAAGTTACATTCTTTGGTGTACTGAATAAAATAGGCAAAAAATCACAAAAACATCCTAAATTCTAGATAATATATAGATTCTTTGTGGTGTAGAGATAGAAACAATTGGAAAAAGGTAACTGATGATCAGATACTAAGACAACAAAGAAATCTTTTTGAAGTGCAAAGTCTAAATTATCTGGACTCTAAAGTCATCTGGAATGTAAGCTTCCTATTTTATCATGAAAGTCATGCCTGTCAGCTGTAGAGTGTGTACATTATCCTGTCAAGAGAGCAGCCAGGACTTGGGATTAAATGGAATAATTTTGTCAGAGTAACATGAATCAAAAATCCTGATCCATAATTATTTTTTATAACCCAGTGGTGCTTATCTTGTTTTACAAACAGGCTGAAAATTGGTGAGTGAGTCAAAGGCAACAGTAACTATATAATATTGTTATTTTGGATACAGGCCATGTAACTAAATAATAATTTCAGCAGGTTTTTGTTGGAAATGATCATTTAACAACAGGCTTGGCCTCTGTCCTTGTCACAAAGCATGCCACAATTACTTTGATGGCCATGTGTGTAACACAGATGTTGTCTGCTAAAGCTAACCACATTATCTTCTTTGCTACCATAAAAATGTACGTGTTAAACACCTACCTATCCTTGGCGTGTACTAAATTAAATATGTTTGCATATTTATAAATGGTATAATGTATGAAAAATATATTGCATGTAGATGGTATTCAAACATTGGATGAACATGTGTATGTTATTCTGTACATGCCTTTCAAACTTTTTCCTAACCTTCATGTATTATGGTGCATAGGTACAATTGATGTATATTGCATTAATTACATAAAATTAACTTATGCTTTAGATCATAAATGGAAAAGTAAACAGTTAATAACCCATAGTTACCATTATGGTGTTTTTCCGGAAGATAGTATACTTGGTAATTTTGATTACCACTAATTAAGGTCAAAATTAAGCAAGTAACATCAATTAGCCTACTTTTCTCTGAAATTAACTGGAAAAATCTCTATTCTTCAAATGCATTTTCTAACATATGTGATTATACTGTTCGTATTCTATCTTAGATGAAGATGCTAATTTTGCATTAAAATTGTGGCCATATTTCATCTCTTACTAGAAGTAGTTTTACTGATTCTAAATGGTTGCTTGAGAGTTTGCTTGTGTTACTGTTAAAATAATGCACTGTGAATTAGAAAAGATTAATTATAGCAAGTTAAGGTGGAAGAAGCATGAGAGAATCTTGGTAAACATTATTTTTGTGTGTAATTTTGAAAAACACTCTTTGGATTTGTTTAAGCACCAAATCACAAATAGAAAAATTATGAAGTGATTTTTCTACAACTTAGATAAGTTTTTAATCGATGTTAGAAAAAAGTCAATGACACCATGAAAAGTGTTTCAGCCTGAAGACAGTTACTCATCTTATATGGTAAGATGAATATCATTTAAATGGAAAATAATTTCATTTCTGTTTAGATGGAAAATAATTTTCTGTTAAAAAAAATACTGGAAAAATAAAACAGTATCTTTGTATTCCTATTAATGCTACACAGGTATTTACCTTTTTTACTTGCTTTAGGGACAACCTCTCCTTGACAGCAGAAAGTAGTATTTGTGCAGTTCACAGTTTGAACCTTATCCAAGATTTCAAAACTCAAGTTTATATAAGCTGAAAGCTTTTGGTTATGTATTGAGCCCTACAATAGCTTTTAGTGGTTTGTATTTTGCTGCTATCTCTGTTGTTTGTTCAAGTAAGGATTTCTGCTTTGGTTGGTCTCAGTTGTCTGAGTAATGTTTGTTCTGGGAAACTGTTTTTGTGTCCTTTCTAGTTCTCTGTGCTGAGGGAGGTAGATGACTTTTTTTTTGTTCTCTTACAAAGCAAAACTCGAATGTGGCTCAGACTGCTTTTCTAGGTTTTCATTTGGTTAGCAAAAGATTTTCAGAAAAAAAAAATCTCAAGATTTGCTTATAAATTCTCAAAATTGCTGCTACAAATGTGAAATAGATTAGTATTTTAATTTTGGCAAGATTTTATCCTCTGAGTAGTGTGATGAATATTTAGGTGCTCATTTTTCCCTGTGAGTATTGATTAAATTAATGAAACCAATATGACAGTAAGATGAAAATTTCATTAACTTCTTTTAAATGGCTTTGTTAAGATATACCATACAATTCGCCCAGTTAAAGTATATAATTCATCCATTAACTGTTAAATAATGTTACCTCCCAATCATCCCGAGGTTCCTGAGGGAATACTGTGAGTCAGTTTTGATGCTTTGATCAGAAACTTGCTAATAAGCTAGAAAAACAATCATAAGGCAAAGGCTTAAATTCTGTGCATCTTACTTACCAAAAGTTACAATTTGCCTTCCATTTGGACCAGGAAATAAAATATCTCAGAAGACTGGGAAAAAATGAAAAGCAATAGCTTCACAAATTATATTAAGTTTATATGTGAATACTCATATCTTTTGGTATCAGCCACTGAACATACTGAGTCAGGAACCATATAAACATAGGTTGAAGCAAGTAATCACACACCAACATTTAACAAAAAATTCACTGTGGGTCTTGATTGGGTATTAAATTAGATGTGACTGGGCTAGAAAGTGTCTCTCCTCCATACTACATCCAGTTTTCTAAAATTCAGATGTGACATACAATTTTTGGCTGCATAAGACAAACTGTGTATAAATAGCCCCTCAGTTTACAGTAAATTTTTTCCTTGAAAAAAAAAATTGAAAATGCTTTTTTATCATCCATGACTTGAATGTGATTTAATAATTGTTTAAGGGGGAAAGCATTGTTTGTTACCTCCAACAGCTTATGGCTGTCTTTCTGGTATTCTTGGTTGATAGTGAACTACAATTTTTGCAATCCAGTTACTGTGTGTGTTCTTGAATTCTATATTGGTAAGCTTGAACTATGTTGAACTCCCTATGGGAATTTATCCTGTCCCCTGTAGGATACTTAGCAGCATTCCCTGTCTCCTCTCACCAGATACCAGTAGTAGAACCTCTTTTCCAATAATGACAACCAAAAATGTCCCCAGATGTTCCCTGATGGGTATAATCACCCTTTGTTGAGAACCACTATCATAGAGGATAGATAGCAGCTTCGTTTGTTCTTATGTCTTTGTTGCACAGTTTCTATCTTGAATGCAGGGTAACTTTTAGATGCCTTGTATTTTTTCTTTACTTCCCTCTCTTTTGGAATGGTGAGTTGTTTGCCTCATATTCAGTGAAAACAATATGGTATCTTTATCTTGCTTCATATTCAAGTATCTTTACACTTGCTTCATATCTTTATACACAGAACAATAGCTGCTGTGATTAAAAGCATAGGTTCTGGAGTCAGATTACCTGGGTTTAAATTTTGGCACCACTGATTACTTAGTAGCTGAGTCTTTTCTGAGTTTCAGTTTCACCATTTGTAAAATGGAAAGAAATGATGTACAGTATTCACCTTCTACATTCATGCTGTTTTTCATGTGATAAGTCCCCAGAAAATTTTAACTTTATTTCATCTTCCCTCATTTTCCCCTTGTTGTAGT